TAGAGAGTAGCCCCCACCACGCATCCGATCTCAACTATCTACTCTCTACAACAGTAGAGTATATATTAAGGCTGCGCAGTGGTACTAAGGAAGGAGTGGGGGACCTGTGGGATTTCCCATCTGGCATCACTGGATAGTACGACTACTACTCTCGATAAGTATCGGATGCGTGGTGGGGGCTACACTCTACTCTCTACTCGTCTAGAGAGTAGATAGTTGGCGCTGGGTGCTTGGTTGAGCCATTCGGATCCTTATAATTTTAGACTCTTATCGTTGCTTATGGGCCTTGAAACTTAAACCTCAATGGTGCTGACCCTTGAAAATGATAAAAGTTAAATTTTTGACGCTTAATATTTCTGACCCTTAGACTAGCCGTACTATCTACTATATACTATTGTAGAGAGTAGATAGTTGGGATCGGATGCGTGGTGGGGGCAACTCTCTACTCTCTACGCGTCTAGAGAGTAGATAGTTGGCGGTAGGTGCGAGGTGGGGACATTCAGACCCTTATTTTCTTTAGACCCTCATCATTCCTCATGACCCTAAAAATTTGACCCTAAATCGTGCTGACCCTAGAACATGTATGGAGCGAAATTTTAGACTCTTAAAATTTCTGACCCTTAGTCTAGTCGTACTATCTACTCTCTACTGTTGCAGAGAGTAGATAGTTGGGATCGGATGCGTGGTGGGGGCTACTCTCTACTCGTCTAGAGAGTAGATAGTTGGCGGTAGGTGCTTGGTGGGGGCATTCAGACCCTTATTTTTGAGACCGTTATCGTTTCTCATGACCCGTGAAACTTGACCCTCAATAGTGCTGACCCTTGAAAATGATACCAGTTAAATGTTTGACCCTGAGACTAGCCGTACTATAGAACAGTAGAGAGTATAGTATAGTACTCTTTACAGCAGTAGAGAGTATATCGTACGGCTAGTCTAAGGGTCAGAAATATTAAGGGTCAACAATTTAACTGTTATCATTGTCAAGGGTCAGCACTATTGAGGGTCAAGTTTCATGGGTCATGAGGAACGACAAGGGTCTCAAAAATAAGGGTCTGAATGCCCCCACCAAGCACCTACCGCGAACTATCTACTCTCTAGACGAGTAGAGAGTAGCCCCCACCACGTATCCGATCCCAACGTTATACTCTCTACTGTTGTAGAGAGTACTATACTTTACTCTCTACTGTTCTATAGTACGGCTAGTCTCAGGGTCAAAAATTTAACTGGTATCATTTTCAAGGGTCAGCACTACTGAGGGTCAAGTTTCACAGGTTTCTACGGGTATCTACTCTCTAGACGAGTAGAGAGTAGCCCCCACCACGCATCCGATCCCAACTATCTACTCTCTACAACAGTAGATAGTAGATTGTACGGCTAGTCTAAGG